GATGTCTCAATAATGGAAGTGAGTTAAGCTGCACTTGGGACTCAACTGCACCATAATAATAGATTACGAATACCTTATTAGAACCTGAGGATACATGGAATTACAAAGCATGATTTATATATCTTGAATACCGAAATTCTAATCAATATCTATATTTTTTAACTATATTCATATTTATATTATTTATTATATATATAATTATACCTATGTATACATTTGTATCGATTTAAATATCTATATCCATTTTACCAACAAAAGCTGTATATTTGCATTTATCAATACTTCAAATTATAGTTATTAATGCTAAAAATTAAATATTATTTTTTTTGAATTATCCTTTTGCATTTTATGTTATACAATCATTTTTGTCAATAAATAGAAACTCAAGCGTAGCATTTAATATATATAATATCAGTATTTTGCCAATAGCTGCATTTTATTCTGGGATATTATTGAATGCAAAAAGAATTTTGGACCAAGCAAACGCTCAACTTTGTTTTCGAGTTTAATTTTTTCATTTTTGCTTTTGCAAACCATTTAGCACTTGAGCGTCATAGATGACGACTCGTGCTACAAATGTGATGGCTAGAGAGGAAGAGATACTGACGATCCACATATTGTGTTAATTCAATTAAGATGCTTCTAATAACTAATTTGCATAGGAAAACAATATGGAGCGCTAAATGAAAACCGCCTAACTAAATCCAAAGATTGGGTTTGAGCTCACTTCTGACGTGGGCAAAATACTGTTGTCAGTGCTGCTCCTAACAATATATGTGCTTGCGTAATTAGCGCCAGTTGGCCACATATAGAAAAAGTGTAGCAAAAGGGGGCGGGCAGCCAAGTTCCCGGACTGAAGTCGAAGCTGATGTTGAAGTTGATGCTGAAGTTGTAGCTGAAACTGATTTTTAACACTCAGCAGCCATCGAAGTTTTGAAAAGAAAGCAGACGAAATGTTTTCATACGTGCTGCCATTCGAAACACTTGACAAACATTGGATGAGCCACCATAAAAAAAAGAAGAAAAACGAAAGAAATACAGAAATACAGAAATAGAGAGAAAGAGGGAGAAAGACAGAGAAAATACAGAAAAATCACAGAAATATTGTTATTATCTAGCGACAAGCGCAGAGACAACAGACAATTGATTTGGCATGCAGCCGGGGCGCCAAAAAGACCTTTTGCATTAGCTACTCTTTGGCTCACACAGAGATCCGATAATAATAGAATGCGAACGCGACGTGGAAAATGGAATTGAAATTGGAATTGCCTGGGCCACAAAGCAAGGCGCAAGCAACGCAGTCGCTGAGGTGAAACAAACCCAACTGATTTCACTTTGCAGCAAAACTTTCCAACACAACAAATTAATCAAATGATGACGAAGACGACGACGGCGACGACGACCCAGCACAGCGCTCAGCTGATCTTCAAGTTCATCTCGCAGCTGAGGCAGCTAAGGTAGCTGCCAACAGCAACAGCAGCAGCAACAACAACAATACAACACGCCGCCGACAACTTCCGCTACGGCAAAAAAAAAAAAAAGTAACAAAAAACAACAAGCAACATTGTTGCAAATCTGAGATACAATGTGAGGAACCAGTATTTTTTTCGGATTGCACATTGATTTAGTAGAGTATTGCATGGCATGCCACAGATTAAGTAATGCTCTTTAAGACATTAATAAATGTAGAATATTCGGAAACAGACATTTTTGACTTGAATTTATTATTTAACTCGTTTAGATCCAAAATAATTTCCATTTTTTTTACCATTAAAATTTATGTTAGGAAACAAAGTTCGAATTTATTCTTCGTTCAGGTTTTTTTGCTCTGAATTTAAATTAAAATTTAACATAAATTATGAGCATATTTTTTAATATAACTTAAGGTCAAAAATACATAATAACTATGATTAAAAATATCGCAAAAAATTTTAATAATTTGTTGCTTATGGTTTTATGACCCCTTTTTATGACCTGAAACCAGCAAAAACATTTTTTTACAAAATGTATAAAATATAATAAATGTATGTTATAACCAGTGTAGACATTTTTATTTAAACATTTTTTTTGGCCACCAAATTACTTGTTTATAAATGTTACAGTGTGTCTGTGGCCGTGCTCTGCAACTGTGCTCTGTTTATTTACGAGCTTGGAATTTTGCAGCGTACCATTAAATCGTTTAAATGGCTTTCCTGGCACTTCATAATTTGCCGATCAGAGCGCCAAATTGCAATTTGCCCAGCAGCAGCAGCAGCAGCAAATATCTGCGTGTGGGCGTTGCCCAGCGCCCAGTTGCCTACATGCCTCAATGTCGAGCTGCCCGAAGAGCTGAAGATGCAAGACATAAGATACCAACACAAAAACAGAGAGTTTTTTTTTTATTATTTTTTGTTTGTGTGCAATGTTGCATTAAATGCTGTCTAAATGCATTTGACCGCCAAACGACTTTGAGTGCAACATTGCAAACATTGGTAAAAAGCAGCAACAACCGCAACAACAACGGCGGCGATGGCGACGACTCCAACTGCGTCTAGCAATTAATTGTATATTATTTGCGCGTCGTTTACTTGCCTCAAATTAGCCAACTTGCAATTTTTCTGCAACAGGAAATTATTGTTATTGCCAAGGCGACTGGCGATCGGCGAACTAGCGACAGAAATCGAAGCAAATGTTGCAAACAGCAACAGCAACAATACAAGTCGCCGCATATTTACATTTTACACACAGAAGAAAACACAGAGAGAGAGAGAGAGAGAGAGAGAGAGAGAGAGAGAGAGCGATACAAAAGACTGTAGACCCACAGTCGACGTATTATGAGTTTTGAAAGTGAATTGATAAGTTAAATAGAAGCTAATTTATGCATTGTATAAGTTGAAAGATCTGATATAATGTGCTTCAACTGAGCATTGTTATTAAATCGAAGTTAATTTGTCTAGCATAAAAATGTATACTGTTTACTGATCATAATTGCAATAAATTGATCATTTAATTATCGCATAAATTAAAAGATCGCTTAACACATGATCTGTCTGATCATTAATATCAAAGCATTTGTATATTACCTACGAAAACATATTTTATAACGTATCTTCAAAGATTGTTTTAGAGGATCATCAATTAGATATTTTCTCCTATCAAAAACAAACATAAAACTACTCAATAAAGCGGCAGATCATTAATCCGTTGCGATCTTTTTGCTGTTTTCAATTTGCTTCTGTTTTCTGTTCCGCTTGTAGTCACTTTCAATGTTAATTGAACGTGGCCAGCACGAAATGGACCAGACCTTCAGCTATCAGTAGCCAATTTAACACACAATGCAACGATGCGGAAATCAAAAGTGTGGCATGCAAAAAGAATGAAGCTGTAGCAATAAAAGAGAGCAAAGAAAGTTGTCATTTGATTATTGATTGTCGACTATCTAAACATTTTCATTGCAGCACTTTTCCATTCGGGGTGTTTGCACTTTCATTTTCAATTAACACAGCAGCGCGACAAGTGATAAAAAAAAACAACAAAAAAAAAACCAAAAGACTAAGGCAACAAACTTCGTCCGTCGTGGAAATGCAAATGGGAATAACCACGACGGCCGGTTGCCTGTTTTGAATGTTAAGGCTGCAATTTGATTGCCACACACACAAACACCCCCACACTCCCCTAACCCAATAAAAATCGTCTACTCTTCTCTCGTCGGACTGGCAATTTCCGTAGGAAACGACCCAAGAAGTAAAAGTATCCGCGAAGGTATCACTAACCAATTACGCACCTTATGTCCAAACATAAAAAACTCCCAGTCCGAGTTGTTGCTTCCTTGTTTAGATAATTATATAGCCCTTTGGGGTAATGGCCTCTAAGGCCTATGGGATGCGCCAATTAGAAGCAGAAATAGAAAATAGAATCTATGTAAATTAGCGCAAATTTTGCGTGACTTAATTAAAAACGATATTACATCATAGGAAAGTGGCGCTGTCATAAGATCAACATCTCTTCTATCTATCCAGCACGATGGCTTGTGCATGCCACTGGAACTGCGAAATGGATTTAGTATGTGAAGATCTTGCGGCAGTTTTAATATGAAGATGTTGACACGCCCGTTGGGCGAGTGAGTGAGTGAGTGTGCTCGAGTATGTGCTGGCTGGCTGGCTTTATGATTCCTCGGCTCTTATATAACTTAATTAGCTATCGAAAAAACAAATGCGGAAATGCTAAGAAGGAAGTCTTAGCTGCACAACCAACTACAACTATCTACAATGTGAAGCGATTCTAGTTCACTGAGGCGCATAGCCGAAGTTGTCTGATTGTAGTAATCTTTAAGCTGGAGCGCTTATCTAATATATTGCAAATACTTAGGAAAGTTGTCCACTTAAGCTAAAAATACCTTGAATTTGTATGTCCATTTAGATCTTGAAACACTGAAACTTAAATAGTTTAAGTTATAAACAAGATAAAAGCAATTGTTAAAATTAATATTTATTTTTTTATTTCCCAATTGCATTTACATTTTTGCAATAGTTGAACAATTATTGTAATTACATTTGTCCAATGTCCAAAAACTAAAGACTTGGCGAACAAACTTGCAACAAAAACACCAAAAAAAAACTGAAAAGCTATGAAAAATATTTGCACACAAATTAAATACAAGATAAAAATATTTGTGTTTAATTGCATTATGGGCAGCAATTAAAAAAGTAAGGCTTGTTTGCCAAAAGGCACTAAAAACTTGGACAACCAACTTGACCAGTCACAAAGTGTCTCAAATAGTTTCTTTCTGCCAATTTTCAGGCAATTGAAACGCATTTTAAATGATTAGAAATACTAAAAAAATAAAAACAAAACACAAAATCAAAAAGCTAAAACTAGTGGAACCAGTTGCCTTGGTTGTTGTATGACTGTGTGTGTGTGTGTGTGTATGTGTGTATGTATCGCACTCCAGAGCTCAGCCAGCTGAAGCTGGAGCTAAAGACTTCAAGTGGAGTCATCTTGTGTGGCTCGGCTTTAACCACTCAAGTTGAAGTTCGCACGGCACTTGCAAAATGCAAAAAAAAAAAAATTAATAAGAAAAAATACAAAAAAAACAAATAACATATTGTATGGGTGGAAAATAGCTAAAGAAATGCAGTACCAAAGCACCAGCTGCCTGACTGAAAGTACTTTCTTTCTTAATAAGATGCGCAGTTCGCAGCTCACAGCGGAGGCCAAGATGCGTCTGCCGCTGCCTCAGACTCGGCCAAGTTAATTTGCTGCCTGCCTCGAACTTGCTCTAATGCATGCAACAGCCGCATTGTCTGCAGCTGCTGCAGCGACAACAATTTGTTGTCTTATCTTACTCGCTAGCTCTCTCTCTCTCTCTCTCTCTCTCTCTCTCTCTCTCTCTCTCACTGTCTCATTTTGCAAATGACACAAAAGTGAGTTTTGGGAACTGGCAAAGTGGCACAAAGGTTGCCTGTCTGCCTGCCTGGCTGACTGCCAGCCTGCAAGCCATGGCGACAGCGAGGCAGGTGTTGAAAATATGCCACCGTCAGCTAAAATTTGTTAGGGTGTCTGTCTTCTCAACAGCAGCAGCAAAGTGCATCAGCAGCAGCAGCAGCAGCAGCATCTACAAAGTGCATAACTGCTACATCGAATGGGGCTTTTGGGTTAGTCGGCTATTGGGGAGAAGGGGGCTCATTTTGTGCAGAAGCCCCTAAAGATGCTGCCACGATATAACTAAAGGAAAACTTATGAAGCAATTATTTCTTAAAATTAACTACAAATATTTAATGTTCTGAAATATTAAGGAAAAAGATTACCTTTGGTTCAACAACTTATAAAGAAGGAATACCAATTTTCATCTCTTTAATCTCAAAAACTTTGTTTAGCTACATTCTTGATCCATCTCCATCTCCATCTCTGATCGAGCTGATATTAAAAAATATTTCTTCAATTCCCAATTCTAACTAAATTATCATGAGAGTCTTCAACTCGATCATCTTTTTTTTTTGGCAAATTAATAAGAAAAAAATGTATAAATGCTTGTTTGAATGAGCAGCTCTCAAATTCTTCACGCCCACGCAATTTGCCGGTGGATTTGCCTGTCACTTTGGCGCTCAACGCCTCATTTGCATGGAGTCGAATGAAGATGGTGACAGAGGAAGGGACAGGGGAGGGGAGGGAGGACAATGATGGAGCAGACGCCCACCACAGACAAGACGAAACGAAATGTATGTGGTTGTGTGTGTTAAATTGCTACTTAGTGCCAGGGCAAGAGCCAAGATGTATCCATCAGGCAAGCAGGCGAGTAAACAAAACATGAAAATTAAAATTAATCAGCGAGCAAAAGACAAACAAACGACTTTATAGCAATGCGCGTGGAACATATAGTTTTAGCGTGGGCTATCAAAATTTGTATATTTGTATATTGTTTTCGTTTCGTGGAAGCGTGTGAAAAACAAATTTCTGGAGTTATATATGTGAGTAAACAATTAGGCGAAAAGAATGGTATAAGCAAAGCATAAGATGAGTGCTGGGTATAAGTATTTTGACTAGTCTGGATGGTTCCCGTGGGGAGCCAAAGTCAAAGAACTTTCGGTTACTTTCAAATTAAGAGCCATTGGTTTTTGTTTTGTGTTTTTTTTTTCGGCCTTTGGGCATTGTTTGTGTGGCATTTCCGTTTTTGGCCAGCTGAGAAACGGACCCTTTCCCTTTGGCATTGCGTAACCTGCGCTATAAATGTCATCGTCTTGATTCTTGATCTCAATCTTGATTGTTTTCGATGTTAACATTAGTTTGGCTTTGATTCTAGTTTTCACAATTTGCGTACGCCATTAAAAAGCTAATCTGTTTTTGTTGTTGCGCTTGAAGTGTTTTCAACTTTACGATCGTATTTTGTTTCTGCAGGGCTTTTTGTTGTTAACACGCACGCCGGTCAATAAAATAAATTTGTATAGCAATTTATTTAATTAACGTTACGTGTGATTTTTTTATATTTTTCTATTTTGTTCTTTTCTCTAATTGCGTCGTTTCGTTTTCACAGCTGTTTTAATTTCCGATCGTTTCAATCAGCCATTTGAGTTCGAATCAATTTTGAAACTCGAGTTAAAGCAACACTTCAATGTTTTTTATGTGCAGCTTGTTAATTGACTTGAAGTTAAGGAAATTAAATGCTTTTGGATTTTAGTGTTACTTTAATTTTTGCTATGCAAATGACACATGTTAACTGAGCAATTCTTTGAATCTTTTAGCAATTTGAGTTTAGCTTTTATTGTCTAAAAATAATATATTTAACATGAGTAAAATCATTGCATTAAAATTAATTTAAAAAAAAAAAACATATTTTTTATTTTAATATCAAATATTTTTGTCGGCACAAAATATAGTTGGTTAAGTAACTAAGAAATACATCGAAAACTAATATTTATATCTGCTTGTATACTTTAAATATTGGATATTAAAGCTACAAAAAATAATATTCGATTTAATTTATTAAACTGAATATAAATATAAGAAAATGTATTTAAGTGTTTAACCTTTAGACCTGTGTCAAATTATTTGGTCTGTTCTAAACTCCATTAAGTCAGCAGCTGAGTTGAAACTCACTGTAAACCGCATGCCGCAGTTTTAATTAAAACAAATGCAATTTAGTCGAGCTTCTGAGAAATTTTGATGAACTGCTTTGATTTGGGCCTGAAGACAGCAATGCAAAAGAACACCAAATAAGACCCAAGTAAAACCACCGAGAAGCAGCAAAAGAAAAGAGTGAGATATATTTTTAACACCTTTTGCTCCACATACCACATTTGTTGGTATTGAAGAGCCGTTAGCTGATGCTAGACTTCGACTGCGACTGCGCTTCAATTGTTATTATTATTAATTAGAAAAAATATTTGTTGTGCGCCCAAAACGAAAATGAAGGCAAACCCAAAGCCAAACATCGCCTGACGCTTATCGCATCCAGTGCATCAATGGACCACGTCCAGCACTATTTTTATTTATTTTTGTTATGGGAAATGCAGTTGCGGTCCGAACGGTTGCTGGATTTTGATTAGAACTTGGCCATGACATGCGAGACTGGCTGAAACTGTGCGGCTAACATGCCCGTGTCGGCAAATTAGAGAAAATTTTTGTTTGCTCAGTAATTGGCAAAATGGGCGACGACAGCGCGAACAAAACGGGCATCAAGCGTGTTTACAAATTTGTGGCAATGCCCCCCGCCGCGCTGGAGCCCAGCGAAGTGGCTTACCGGTTTTTGTCTTTGTTAGAATTTCTGCGATCGACAGATTTGCATTTGAAATTCAATAATTTGCATGATAAAAACCACATTTAGAGATTCATAAGTTTTATATTTAGTGAATTGTAAACAGGAATATTTTTCACACACAATAGAAAATAAAACAAAATTTCGCTTTCAATAAAAAAAAATATTCAACATGTTATAAATACGTACAAGCAAAAAGTTCAAATAAAAATCAATGAAACTTAAGCGATTATAAAGCTTATAAAATTACGCAATACACTACAAATTGCAAGATACTCGTATAAGATTGCAGCACGTTCAATTGCCTCATAAAAAATTAATTAAGCCTAGCAAAATTGTCTAGCTTGGGCTGCCTGGCCATAGATCAGCCATAAAAAGCCAATAAATATAATTAAATATTAGATGACCACAAACAACAACTTGCAAATGAAAAAAGTCCAGTAAAACTTTCATTTCTGGTGCTATTTGATATACGACTCGAAATTCTTGGCCAAAATGCAAAAGTTTTGCGCGTTTTTAATTACAGAGACTCGCGAGATGCGATATACAAAATACCTAATACGAAATATGTTAATTAGCCAGACACACGCGGTAATTTATGGTTAAAGTCCAAAGGGAAATTTGTCAGCTTAGACAAAACTTGTCGGCTACTTTATGTGGGCAGCAAAAGTAAAAGCGGAGCATTAACTTAAATTAGAATATTTACACAAATTGGCCATAGATTAATTAGCATGTCATTTGGGGTCACGCAGAACTCGAAAGCATTATGATGCATAAATTGATGAATGATCATTTGGATTAATATGGGAAAATAAGAAGTTGATTTGAAAATTATAAACAAATTATGTACATATGAGGAAATAAGATCAAGACTACTTATAATACATATAAAAACAAATCAAATGCCTTGACATTGAGTACTTAAATCCCTGATCTGTCAGGAGAGCCTAAGGCTCTTTACAATCTCTTTATTAATTATACGATCTCAAAAGGGAAACCTGCATACATCAAGTATTAAGACATTGAATATTCAAACATCATCAAAGCTCAACATTTAAAAACTATTTATATATTCTTTTGTCTACAGACCTATCGAAGTGGCCTCAAGGCTATGCCAACTGGCACACCAATACGATTACCATTAAGAATCCCCATAAATTTGTCACTTAAGTTTGTAAACAAAGTCGCTAATTGCTGCACCCCACCCTCCCCCCCCCCCTCGCCGCACTTAAGCAGCCAACAAGTGTCAGTTGTTACCACAAACTTGTGCCCAGTTTATAGCCATAATTGTTGACTTTTTTTAAGCTCCCAAAGGTAAGAAAATTTATTTAAACAAAAAATAGAATGAAAAACAACAACAACCATAAAGATGCTATCTGTGGTGGGGGACTGGTTTAAGATTTCTGATTGCTGCGAATATTTGCCAATCACTTAAAGCCATTTGATGAAAATGCCAAGCCAATGAATTGATGAACATGTTGCAGACTTTTAGAGCGCTGATTGCTCATCAACCGAAGATAAAAAATGTTCAGCTCTTGTTTTTTTTTTTTTGGTTTTTTCATCTTCATATTTTTTAATTAGGCACCTTATTTGCAGCACACAAAAACAACAACAGCATCAGCAATCGAAGCCAAAAGCGACCAAGAGCGACCAAAAGAATAAAGCAAATTGAATCTTCCGCATTTGCTTTCAAATAAAATATATTTTTGTTTTTATTTATTGTTAATTTGCTTTTATTTTTGGCAAAAGCCAACAAAAAAAATCTTAAAGAAGAAGAATCCATTATGGCTGCCTTATGAGTAATTTTTGTATCAATATTTGGTCAGTAATTTTGGCCAAAAAATAAGCAGCTCGAGAGGAAGTGGAAGTGGACGCTCTACACAAATGACTGAGGCAACAAACTTCTTTTACATAATACCCCCGACGAGCGCCCGAATGTAAATTTGTTGTTGACATTACAGTTGACGTGATAGTTGTTGTTGTTGTTGTAGTTGTGTGTGTAGTCACACATGCGCAAACAAATGACTTAAGTAATATACTTGCGACTTATCTGTGTGTGTGTCTCTGTTTATATTTTTTTAGTTTTTGTTGTATGCAAATAACAGCAAAACAAAATGAATCATTTGTTTCACTTGCGACACATACACACACACACACACATGTATAGCCACATGTGTAATACAGACAATAGCAATTTCAATGTCAAAATTGTAATTGCCTTTCACAAAAAAAACTCATTTTTGTGATTTATTTTCAACTTGCGGATTTGCTTTGTTTCTGCTTTGAGTGCACCCACATTTCAGTACTGCGTTTATAAATCAGCTTAAAACAGTCAAATTGTTGACTTAGTTTAGTTTTATCTACATTTGTAGTCGGGCATCTAAATTATCTTTAGAGCTTTGCCACTTAAATGCTGATAAGTGCATCTTTTCAGCACTTACAGTATCATTATATTGTACATTTATCTTACAGCCGACTGATGACTGTAAGGGTATTTAATATTCAGCAGTTTATATTTACTTTTATCTTTATTTAAATATTTTTTGACAGATACATATATTGCTGACGTCTTCAGCTACTCAAATGTATTAATCATAAGAGCATTCACTTATCGTTCAGATCGTTATGCTCTCATTTCAAGTATTTTTCGATTTGTTTTCATGCGATTGTCTCGTGCGACGTCTGCTTTAACACCTCATTTTTTTTATATTTTTTGGCAAGTCACGAAACAAAAGAATTATGCGGATTATACAGCATTTTGTGGTACTCATTCTAAACTGATGGCAAGTGGAGTGAACGATGCGGGGTTCGCCGCACCATAATTGAGTTGTCAATGACATCAGAGGCCGAAGTGCGATACGGATTCGGATTCCAGCCAAACAAAGAACCAGCCGGAAATGCAACACAACAGCACAACAAACTCTCACACTCGCAGCCCCTCTCCCCCTTACTGACTGTAACTGCTGTGGGCGTTTAGGGTTTCCATGCGCCGGTCTGTCACACAACTTTTGTTACATTTTTCGTTTGCATTTCGAGTATTTTTTTCTCTTTTTTTTCTTTTTTGCTTTACATTTTTTTCATTGTAATTATGCGAAAAGGAAAACAAACACAATGTGAGAGCCACCATAGAGTGAGGGCCTCTGACTCAGCGTCAGTTGTGTGGCCTGGGCTCGGATGTCGACACCTGCACAACCCGCTTAGGTCACGGGCCAAAAATGTGAACTCATATGTGAAGCGGGGTGCAGATGTAAGTACTAGTTGCCCCCGCACTCAACAAATGTGCCAAAAGGCCAACAAACGTAATGAAATTTTCGTTTTATGTCTGCGGCTTTTGTGCGTCTGCATGGCATGGTAATTATTCAGCTAAAGTATAAGTATAAACATATATTTACAAACACACACACATATATTTATATATATATATATATATATATATATTTGTCTGTGTCATGCAAATTATGTTGTGAGGGACGTTGCTTCTGAGATGGTTAACTGTAGGGGTGACTCAGTTGGCAAATGTAAGCATGGGAATGCAATGAAAGTGAGGTAGTTTTAAATGTACAAAGAATGTACTTTAAGGGTTGCTCAGAAGGGTTATCAAAATTGAAAGAAAAATTGTGACAGCTGCGGCACTTTTTGAATGTACTCTAGGCATAGTCATAGCCTGTAAAACCTTAGATCATGTAGATATTACATCAACTCCAAATACAACAGATATATATTTTTTAAGTTCATTTTTAAGCATTGCGAAAAGTTTCTCATATTTCTCTCACACTAAAGCCCCTCCCATTGCTAAGCACTTTACATGATTACATATTCAATTTCGTGTCTTACATAATTTCACCTGCCATAAAAAATCAATCATGTGTTACGCTCAAAAGTTATCAAATATTTACAAAAATATCTTTAATTGTAAACTCAAATATCCATAACAAAGACGCACTTAACGTCACGCCCCTCCTCAAACGGAAGCGCGGCTATAATAAAGAGAAAAAACCCCAAAAAAAAAAATGGAAAAAAACACTTTGCAAAAACATTAAACTTTCGCACGCCCCGGTGACAAAGTGATCCGTGTGCAGCCGCATCAACAACGCATCGTGCAATGAAGCTGAGAAACACTTTCAAATGTTTTTGGGGGCGCCTCGTATTGACAAGTAAGTTGTACTGGACGCCTACACGTCAGACACAGCCTCCGACATGACCATCTACAAACAAATTAGTGTCAGGCGCAAAAACCGACTCATGAAAAGCAAAAGTGTACACAAATATGACACATAAGCGCGTGGAGGGAGAAACGATGACGGAAAAAACCACATTCATACAATGTGGATACATTTTGCGCTGGCAAAGTATTAAGAAAAAAAACTTTTACTTTTCAAGTATAAAAGTATTTGCGCATCATGCAATTTGATTTGCAAGCGCAAATCGTAATATTCAAGATGTGTTTTTGAGTGCGTTTCAATATTCAGCATCAATCACACAAGCAACAATACTAACAACAACAATCTCAGCTAAAAAGTGAATGAGCCGCGAGTTGAACTAATCAAGTTTGTTGCTTCAGTCATTTGATTGATTTCTGCTTCACAGCGCATCAAAATGCATTTTGCCGGCTTTTCAATTATGTTTGTGGGTGGTTATTCAGTTTGCAAAGTAAAAGGCTTTTAAATAACATCAAACTATTTTAGCGAGTTTTTGTTTTTTTGCTGGGACTTATGCAATGTCTTAGACGAAGCCGCCTACTTGGACCGATATTGTGAGCAGTGTAAGGAGCTCAAAAAGCCGCCTAAAATTGAAAGTGATTTTCTGTTTTTTATTTGCATTTTTATTGCACAAGTGGTGGGAATTTAAATAGCTTCAAATAATGCTAATGGTATTCGCCATAAAGTGCATGCAAAGAAAGGGGTATGCACATCACAAATACCGTTAAGTCAAAAATTTTGCTTATGTAAATTTGCAAATAAAATGATTTAATAAAGTTTCGAAATTAGAAGCAACGTTTTTTGTTAGTTTTTAATGGATGGAGTCTAAAAATAATTAAAAGTGTGCTATTTTTAATGGTAAATTGAATGGCCATATTTGTGCTATTAATTTAGTGCTTAATAATAATAATGAAATTATTCAAGCCTTCAAATTTTTACCAACTTTAACTTTTCTGCTCTATTTTTTAGTTTATTTTGTTTTTTGCAATTTCTTAAATTGATTAGTGTGACGCCCTTGGAACTCTGATCACACCTCCCCTGCTTTGCATCACAGAGTGTTGCACATGAAATGCGCCAAGTCATAAAAATTAGCCAAATGCGAGTTAATTTTCAAATTTCAAAGCTCTTTTGCATGTACGAATTGTAACAACAGTTAACAATAATAATTTAAAAAAGAAAAAAAACCAGCCAACACAAATGTAAGGCAAAAGGCAACTGAAACAGGTAATAAAAGAGCGCAGAAATTGCTAAATTATATGTGCCTGAAATTTGTTCAGCGAAAAAATTGCAATTTGCGTTTAATTTGGGGTCACACTTAACAGCGCCACGTTATGCAAAGCATAACAGAGGGTGCCAAAGCGCTGTTAAAGGACGCCATGGTCGCTGTTAGGCAATTACAGTTATTGTTTTTCTTCTTCCTCTTCTTCTTCTTCGCTCTTTTTGTCTGTTACAGTTTTGAAGGCATTTTAATTGCAGCCCCCGCGGCCAAGCTAAATGACACATGCGCTCAACTTGGCCAGGCCACTTTGTTGCTGCTGCTTCTGTTGTTATTGCTGCTGCTGCTGCTGCTGCTGGTGCTTGTGAAGACTTTCACTTTGCCGCAAAGAGATGAAATGGTTATTGACTCTTTGTCCAAAAATAAAACCGAACCAATTAAACCATTAGCGTACACTATGAAATAGTTTTGAAAACCAGAGCACAGCAATTTGCAAAATTTCGACTTTAACTGTTTCGCGTGTGTAAAATGTATATTTTAAAATATATCAACGACAGCTATTAAATGGTAAATTATCAGTTAGGTTAGACAGATGCCGATAATATTTCAGAAAATGTACTCCTAATAATAGCTAAGCAAAATAAAATAATAATACTAGCAAACCAAATATTATAAAAAAAATTTAAAAAGGGGATTTTTAACTTAAGAAAAAATGTGTAACAAGCTACAGTTTCCAAAAATGCATCATTAATGAAGCCATATTTTTATTTCGAATAAAACCGAATAACATTTTTATTTTCTTAGAATGAATTTTGCTAAAATGAATAAAATTTCTGTTTAACACTTGAAATTATATTTTGAATATTAAGATATATATTTTTTAATGTTTATACATAAGTGAAATGTTGTTCTATTTTACGATCAGCTATTGGATATAGAAAGGATTCCTGTGAACTCACCGTCTTGCCTGCCTGGGTATCGATTGTGTCCAGCACACCGGCGCCTTGTGCAGCTGATGCATATTCCTCGACGATTTGTATGTGAGATCGCCGCACTCCGTTTGCCACACCTGTAGATTGCCCTCGGCCGGATAGAACGTGTACAGACTGTGCGTCGCCGAGGCAATCACTGGCGATGAGCCGCCGCTGCCATCGATACCGACACCAACGCCCATACACCCGACACCATCGACACCGCCAACACCCACCAGCGGCGACAGTTGCGCACTCGATATCGGTTGCACCAACAGCGCTGCCTGACCACCTGCCGCAGCCGCTGCTGCTGCTGCTGCTGCCGCTGAACCTGCAACTGCAGCCGATGATCCGCTGCTTTTGTAGTTGAGCATGCGACTGTTGATGGCGCTGTTGCCGCTGCCATTGCTGCTGCTGCCGCCGTTGCTGCTGCTGCTGGTCACGTTGCCGTTGCCATCGTGCTTGAGGATGAGACTGCTCGGATCGTAGCCATGTCGCTGCCTGCCAATCGCATCCACGGAATGCGAACGTAGAGCGCTGCGCGCCGGCGTTGTCATTTGGAGGCGACGCCCACGTCTGTAGCCAGCTGCAGCAGCAGCAGCGGCACCGGCGCCAACGCTGATTCCACTGGTCAGGCGATGATTGTGAATGCTGGCGGCGGCACTTGCCACCAGCGGTTGACGATGCTTCTGGTATTGCAGGCGCTGTTGTTGTTGCTGCTGCTGATGCTTCAGCTGCTGTTGCTGATGTTGCTGTTGCTGATGCTGCTGTTGCTGCACATGCTGTTGTTGCTGCTGCTGCTGATGATGCAGTTGATCCTTGTAATATTCGCGTCGCTGCAACTGTGGCGCCGCCAGACTAAGTGCGCCGCGAGCTGTTGGCTTCTCTGTCAAATTGCTGTTGCTGTTGTTGCTGTTGTTGCTGCTGCTGCTGCTGTTGTTGTTGCTACTGCTGTTGTTGCTGCTGCTGCTGCTGGCACCGCCCGTTGCCGCTGAGCTAAGCTGCGCCAACTTGCTGGCATTGTTATTGTTGTTGTTGGCAGTTGCACTTGTTTGATGCTCTGAATCGGTTGAAACCCGATCCGGATCACTTTCGAAACCTTCGTCAAGGGATCGTGTTGGACTCAGTATGGGCTTGGAGTGTTGCTCCAGTTTGGTGGACATTGCAGACATTATCTTATCGAGTTGTTTTTGGAAAAAATACACACTTGTTGCACTTGTTTGCCGTTAGCAATTGCCTTACACCAAGCCAACTTTTTTACTTTTTTCTTTTAACTTGCCATGCACTTTATAAATTGGTTTGTTTTGATTTTTTTTTTTTGCTCGAGCGTCGCGAAAATGTTGCAGTTCGAAATTTGGTTTGTAACCAGCTTGAAAGCATTAGCTGATGCTCACGTCTGACTCGCACGAAAGTCGTTCACAAACTGTTCAGCGACTATGGCACAAAGTGTCGTCGACTGGCCAAAGTCAGACGAAAGCTTCGCTCGGCACTTGTTACGAGTCATCGTCGACGTCGTCGGTATTGTTGTTATTGTTGGTGCTGCACCTGCTGCGGGGAGAGCACAAGATCAAACGAAGAGAGAGAAAGAGAGTGTGTGTGTGTGAGTGTGAGTAAGTGTGTGAGAGCACGCGCTGCAAAACAGCTGTTGGCTGTTGACTGTTGACTATCGACTGTTACTGTGTTGTGGCCTAGCTATTCGCGAAATTTCTGAGCGCAAAGGCATGCAACGGGAATGGGAGTGGGAACAGTTAACAGGGCGAACACAAAAGCAGCGCTCAAACCTTGACTTTCATGCAAAAATGCTAAGTTGGCGACATTTTTAGTTATGTTGTTGACGTTTTCAAATTGATTAAATGCAAGTGGGAATCGGTGAATCCAGTTAGTCGAGCAAGAAAGTTATCCGGAAATGTTTAGTTATTGTTAAGATAGCTTATTATGTTTAATTAGAACCCAAGTGGAATTCATTGTTAAAAATACATAAAGAATTAATTGTATAAAATACATAAAGATCAAGGAAATATATTGAATATTCATTATTGGCCCCCAGTAAGAACCGTAAATATGTCTTACATTAATATGCACAAGTAACTCAAACTCAAAAACAATGCTAACTTTTCTAGCCGCTAGTGTGCTGAGCAGCTTAAGCCACGCTTCGCCTAAAAAGCCCCATGCGCTCTTGCTCTCTCTATTTCGCTCTCTCCCTCTCTCTATCTCTGCCAACTATGCTCATTCGCGCCATAAAATTTTCATCAATGAAAACAGACGCTACAGCAACAACGACCGGCACAAAAAACCGCAAGCACGCCAAAAGCAAACAAACAATTGAAAGCTCGAGCAACAGCTTCGCAAAAGCTTTTTACACCTGCTGCACAGCTGCATTGCGAGAGCATCAATGAGACTGAGAGAGAGAGCGGCCAAATTTGGGGTCTACCGCTCGAGTTTATTGATGTTGCTATTGTTGTTGTTGTTGGTGCTGTCGCTGCCATTTCATCTTTCGTTTCGCTGTTGTTGCTAGTTATTTTTTTTTTGTGACCACTGCGCTTACGGCAGCAACAACAACAACAACAACAGAAAGAGTCGGCCATTGCAATTTGATGCCAAGCAGCAATCGATGTTGAAGTGGAATGCCCTTACTTTGATTGATTTCCGGGTGCTGCGACGTTGACGTTGACTAAGACGACAACGACAACGATAGCAGCAGCAGCGGTTTCATTTTTCGCCAGCGAAAAAGAAAAAGTGACCGAGACAATGGAGAAATTGGCTGCAATTGGCTATAAGCAGCAGCAGCAGCAGTTGCCAATTGTTGTTCTCTTTTCGAGGGTATCACGATTATTTTGTGTTGTTTGCCAGACTTAAATTGAGACTAACTGGAAACATTTAAAACAACTGCAAATAAAATTTTTCTAGTTTAGTTGTATGAATATTTTAATTTTCTATTATTTATTTATTTATTTAATGTCAGAGTCGACACAATAAAACACAAAAGGCACAAAAATTAAATTAAAAATAAAATTATACATTTAATTTTGTAAAATAAGAATTATTTAGAGGATTCAATATAATATTGATATTTTAATGATCTGTTATATAGATATTTTAATTATTAATATTATTAACTAGTATTTTTCGTAGAGTGTTCGAAAAGCTCGTAGCAACTTCTGCATTTGTCTCCCTTCCTTTGTTGTTGTTGTTGGTCGTGTTTCTTTTTTGCACTGGCTTCCGATAGCGATAATCATAACTATTGCTGCTGCTGACGCTGCTCTTGTTGTTGCATTGATTTTCGCTTTTCTTTTATGCGCTCATTTATAAGTAAATTATAATAAAGCAGCAATTTGATTTTTCTTCTTTTTTTTAGTTTTATTTTTTCACTGTATTTTTTAAAATTTTTTTTGTTTTGACAATCGAGGCAACGAAACAGTTGTTGGGATTGCGCTATTGTAGCTGCTGTTATGTATAACAGCAATTTAATAATATAAATTTTATAGTTTGAACACCATAAAAATGTAGATCTTAATTATGTTGCGGGGCTGTTGCTGTTGGTGTTGCCGCTGCTGTTGCTGCTGTTGCTGTTGCTACTATTGGATTACGTGCCGGTATTTTGATTTTAATGACAGCCCCACTAAATGGGATGACCTGCACTTCACGTGGAATTCGGAATTGGATCGGTAACTAGCTGGGCTGGCTGGGCTTGGACCGTTACGGTTAGGCAACAATTCCAATTACAACAAACACCCCATAAAGTTCAACTCACGCGTAATGCACTCAACACTCAACAATAGAGAGAGATAGAGAGAGAGAGAGAGAGAGAGAGAGAGAGAGAGAGAGAGAGAGAGCAAAAGATTACATTACAACAGGAGAGAGAATTGGAGAGGATGGCCGTATAATGCTTTATGATGGCTGGTGGGTGTTTTATTGTTGTGTTGTGTTGTTCGTTGTGTTGCTGTTGTTTCGCTTTGCGGTTGGCGGCCCAAGTTCAACTGGGTTCAAGACACAAGCGCAGCCACAATACTTGTCTGTTAATGAGCAGCCACCAGCAACAACAGCAACAGCAACAACAACAGCAGCAACAGCAACAACAACAGCAACAACAGCAACAACAACAGCAGTCGGCAAGAAGCAATAAATCAATCAAAGTGCAGTTAGAGTGTTTCGGTGTAATATCAAAGATGTGTTCTTGACTTTTGATGCTCGCACTTAGATTACATTTAACAACACTTCAAAGTAATTTTATTTATTCAAGTAAATTTAACAATGGACAGTTAAATCTTTTATTAAGAGTAAATCAGCAGTCATTTTAATTTTAAGAATGATGCCAAGCTTTGTTTAATTAATCAATTAAATGTAAGTTTAGAAACAATACTGTAAAAAACTCTTTGATGTAGGCAAAGGTTCTCAACTGGGAAAGCAGAACAAAGTTTAAGCTCTTGGTCGAATTACATTTGTAATTAATTATCATTATTATTTGTAATTCATTTAGTATTAATGTTATTATTATTGTTTCTATTATGAATAGTATTTTGAATATTCTTTAGGCTACAGATATGAAAAGATGCTTACTATTCTCAGTCAACTTTCCTTTCAGTCATTTTCAATAATTCTCAATTGGTACAGGGTATAATAATTATCTGCCCACTGGCAGCAGCTGTTGCGACAAACGAATAAAACTCAATTCTTGTTAATTTTTTATTATCGTCTGATTTGTTTGCTCGTCAGTTGCCACTGCTCTGCGAGGCAGGCCTCTTTCCTCATTCATCATCTGCAGCACCCATGCATCAATTGGCGGCAATAAACAACCGTAAAATGTTTACAGCCAGCGTTAAACCCACAAAACTGTCTCCACCGTTTTCCGACGTGGACCACAGCAACAGCGCCACCAGGCAGCCAAATCCAGGAGTTGGGATGAGCAAAAGGGGTGTGGAGTGCCAGGCACCAGTTTAATTACAACTTTACTGGTTATGACAGACGCTGGCACCAACAACAGCAACAGCAACAACAACAACAACAGCAACAACAACAATAGCAATAGCAACAACAAATGTCACATAATTTTCACAATTAAAGCATAAACTAAAGCAATGCAGGGGCTGAGAATTGCTGGCGGGGAAGGGGAGGGCGGGCAGCACACACTTTGGCAACAGGTGCAACAGGCTAAGCTCGAGGCAGCGAGGCCTGATACAAACTCTGTGGCACACGCATGCGTAAAACGGTTGTTAGCAGTTGCAACGGCAGCGACATGCACGAAATTGTTTGCTTGGCGCAGAGGTAAGAAACGCGCGACGATAGGCCCAGAGTGCCGGGGACATGTTCTGCCAGTTGGCGCGTTGCAAGTTGCAAGTTGCAAGCTGTGGCGACAACGATAACAGCTACACGCGACTAGCAGCCACCAGCAACAAGGCGTGAATGCCGTAAGCCAATACTAACACACACACACAGGCACACGCACACGCACAGTGCTTTGGGTGTCGAGTAAAAGGAAAAGTGTAAACGCCTGTCGCCCCAAGCAACACTGCGCAACACTTCTCAATTGCCCTAAAGCTGGATTACGCAATTCAGTCAAGGATTTCCAGTCAATGAATAGGGCGTTTATATCTTTCAAATTGCTGGGTTGCCTGAACAAGTCATTTTTAAATAGTCTACCATTACTTTAAATAATGATATGCAGTGTTATTATACACTTGTAGGCCGGACTTAAGCTTCTGACATATACATTTTTGTTCGCAGCTGGAAATATTGAAATATTCATACAATATAAA